CCTCCTCAATTCTTTCTCGAATCTGCTCTGCTTGCTGCGACTCAAAGTCGAAGCAATTGGTGCTCACACTCCAGAAAAACCTGCGCGACTGTGTGCTCTGCGAGCCATGGTCTCGCATCTCGAACTTCCGTTTCAAGGGAACCTTTAACATGACATAGAAAAAGAACCACTTCGGGCTGTCGCACAGATTCTCACGGGGATGTGGGCACCTGTGGGCTGTTTAGCTGCCTCCTACGTTAAACGGGCAAGCACCACTCACCTTGAGGAGGTGCTTTTCCGGAAATCACGCGGTCGAGACGGGGGCCAAAGCACTTTGTGGGGGAATTGACAGTATGCTGGGGGCGTTTTGCGGCTGTCTTGTCATGCCTGCAAATCGTGAAGTGATGAAGGCCAGCGATGTACAGACTGCTGACCGGCACTGGGCGCATATCTACATCAGCCTTTGGAGTGCTTGAAGGCACCGGGGCAATGCTCACATGTGGTTCACGCGCTGTAACCACCGCCATGCAGAAAGCGAGCATGGTGCTCCAAGTGCTCACCTCGCGCTTGTTTGGTTGGTCCACAACATGCGACAGAACATGCGTGACTTTAATATCTACCTCTTCTAGTTTGCTGTTGTGGTTGAACGGCTCACAGCCTCTGAACCTCTGCAGACGGAGCTTTCGGCAAAAAAGGCCGAAGCTTTCAGCCAAAGGTCGAATGAAGGTGGACATGAAGTAGTACGAATGGTCGTAGCCAGCCTGCATCCTGCAAATAGCTCACAGAACGACCCGCGCCCTCATCACAAAGTAGAACAAGGCCCCTTTGCTATGCTGCGGCGCTGTCCTAAAGGTGACCGGGACCTTCGACTTCTGAGCAGCAGCAATGAAGGCCAATGGCTGCAGCTGGTTCACGTCGCCCACAAGAAAGTTGTCGCCCTTGGTAAGCTCTGGTTCCAGCCTGCTAACTGGTCCCGCTTCCCCGCAAGATTCTTTGTGTTTTGCTACCTGCACAAGGCTTGAATGCTAAAACGAGCGGTAAGAGCTTAGATTTATTGTCTGCTGTTGCTACTCGTATTTCTTGATTGTGAGGCATTGACGAAAACGTTTTGGCGGAGCAGGATCTGTTTCTCCGGCTTGAAGCATCTGGCTTGTCTTTGACGTGTGGTGAAAGGGCTTAGGGATTAAGCCCTTTGGGTTTGGGGCCCAGGGATTAGAGGGTCTGCATTTACGATTTCAAGCAGCGGTGATAGATCTGTCCGAAGTGCTTCGAGCTAGGGTTTGTCTTTGCTCCTTGCTAGTGGTCTTCAATGTGAGGCATTCGATTCAGAATGGAACTCTTTTTGCCTCTGTTTTATCTTGGATACGAGACATGTTGTTTCTCTTGAACGTGGCCCAGAGTTGGTTGCCTCTGTTTGTCTTGGCCAGGACGATGTGTTGCTTTTGGTCTGTCTTGATCTAGTGAGGGAAAGTTCAGGGCTTATACTTTGCGGGCGAGGGATTAGAGCTCTCAGGAATTAGGGCTTAAGGTTTGCTGCAAATGAACATCGGTACTGCGTCATTGCTTCTTGTTTGACACGAGTGTCACCACTGGTTTGGCTTGAAGGGCATTGGCGGGGGGCACGATGTTTTGCAGCTGCTTTGCCTCTGAAGCATTGAAGAGGTACATATGATTTGCTGCCTTTAATGTGGCTTCAGGATTAAGTGGTTCGTTGTACGTACTCATATTCTCATATTACATATTACAGCACTGGACTTCAAAATGTTTCTTGGATTTGGAGTGTTTGGAGGGCTCCATATCATGAAACGAGTGGCTGTCCCGCAGTCGCACAGGATGTGGAGGTCCTTGCCTGCGTCATGGCAGCAGGATGCAGCGCCACGCAAACCCGACGTGACAGGCTGTGACTGCCGTGATTCTGAGCAACAAGTCGACAATCCGAAAAAGCACCTGTGTACTGCGACACAAGCTCCGTGGCATCGTACTGCTTCCAGCCCTGCAGGGTACTTCCCAGCTAAGGCAACTTGCTGCATTTTCAACACATCCAACCACCCAGCCTGCTGGTCCTCCCCTAAGTACAGCTTGAAGGCTTTCTGTCCCCAAGGAACATTCATTGGATTGCAGATCGGGGCAAAGGCGGACACTGAAGTGTACCTGCACAGTGAAAGCTTGTCTGCGGCAGCCCTTGCATAAACCTGGAGGCTTGAACGGTGACCCTCACATCCCCAAGGCTGCTTGAGGCATGACGGTGACGTTGTGAAGGATCGCTCCCACCTGTCGGGATTCTTCATGCCGATGGTCAAGGCACCGTGGCCACCCATGGAGTGGCCAGAGATGGCCCGCTTGGAGGTCACAGGAAAGTTCGCCTCGATGCAGGAAAGCCGCGGGAGCGTCGCAGGGGACTGTGGACACAGCAAGTATGTACTGCAAACTGGTCTACGACATCCTTCTTCCCTCACGAAGCAGCTGCCAGCACGCACTGGCCTCCACAAACTCAGGAAGCTCCTTGACCACAAAATCATACCTTACCCAAGCACACTCTGGCTTCAGCAAGCAAGCTCTTTAAGACTCCTAAAACTCCAAAAACAAGCAGGTGGCATGTTGTAGTGGGTTTTGTACTTGTCCGTGGTGGCGTTCAAGTAGAACCCGGCTCCAATGCCAAAATCGTACGCATGCGGCTCCTGCCGGGCCCCAGCCACTGACCCATGCCAATGATTGCTTTCTGCACAAAACGTCTCCGCCAAGACCTCGGCTTGAGGGGCATTTTCAGGTGGCCTCCCCCAGCCCCACCACCCCATCCGTCATCAAGCTAGGCCCACACGGTGCAGCTGCTGTCTTCTCACAGGGCATGGCTTCCAGAAACCCACGCCCTCTAGCTGGTCCTGCTGCCCGAGTCCTCTAGAGATGGCCGCTGCTACTTCCGTTCCATTGTCAAGATCGTACTTTGAGTGTGTGTATATATCTATATGTAAGACACTTCCCGTACAACGGAACTACATCTAAAGAAGGACTGACGCCCTGCTCGGAACGATTACTTAAGAGAGGGGCCTCGTGCAAAATTCAAGGCACCACTGCCGTGCTTGTAGATGCGCAGCACACTGCTCCTCATCTGGCACACCATCGCCGCGCGGCGATGTGTCCGGCATCACCAGGACAACCTGTCAGCATGACAACGCGGGCCGATGAAAGGGAGAGCTGAAAACAAGGCGGCCTGGTTGTCGCAGGCAGCCTGGAAGGCGCCCGCTTTTTGGGAGAAGTTCTCATCCGTGCATGTCAGGCCAGAAAGCCAGTACACCTGTGAGCAAGTTGAGATCTGCAACAACTTCCACAACAGCCTGAGCACTGAATATCACTGAATACTGTGACGAGGTTCCACTGGTAGCTTCTTGAACTCCGTGGTGTCCGGCAAATAGGCCGCAAAAATGGTCGGTGTGTTGCCGAGGGTCCTTTGTGGCCGCAAGAGGCTGTGGCTTCCAACAACCATCATGGCTATCCAAAACATCTCATCCCGTCCTGGAAGTGAACTCAACTCGCTTCAGCATGCCTGCCCAAACTTTGCCGAGGCAACTCGAACGATGGACATTTGCGGGTACCAGGAACCTAGAAGTGGAGACAATACCGGGCCCATAACTTGATTCAACCCTAAACTCCACTGCCTTGCGCGACCCGCACGGCTGACTTGATCGAGCAGCTCGCCATGGTGCCTGTCAGCAGCTCAAGGTAATGTAGAGCCCTGAATAGTCAGACTAGGGTTTCTGGCAGGTATGAGGACATAAATATAAAGGGACCATAAGGGAATGCTATCAGTAATTATTCCGACCCCTATATCTTTGGGGGCGGGAGCTTGGGAACATGAGCCGAGCCTTTGGAGCAAGGTGCAGGCGGACCCAATCCGTACCGATCTGGAAACCCCCCTCGAGCCATCAGGTGTCGTGGTCAAGATGCCTTGGGTCACTATTTTCTGTCATCGGCATTCATGATCTTAAATGTTTCCTGGAGTTGAGGGTGGTTGAAAGCCCCGTGCTGCTCCAGCCAACCGCGACAAGTTGGACACGCGGGCACGCTAGATGCCATATCGAAAGCCGCAGTTAGAAGTAGCGTAGTCGGCATCCATCGTCGTCGTCATCATCACACTAGACTGCCCGAAGTCCTTTCACTCAAAAACCTAAAAGCTACAGTAAGAACTTGTCCGCCATCATCCGTCTTCGACGCTACGCTACGTCTATGTCGACTGACTGAACGGAAGTACCTGCCCACATGGGGGCCGGCAACGCATTGCCAAAGAACCGGAGCACGGACACCAAGGGCCAGCGCCCTGAAATTTTCACTTTGGAAATGTCCGCTTCATGCCCTTCATGGTCACAAAAAATGTCAGAACCGATCACAAAGTCCAGGCCAACAGCAACTAACACCGATCCTGATCTGACCGGGAATGGGCAGGGCTGGAGGCACGTCTGCTTGCAGCATCTTGCATCTCACGTCGAACTGCAGTAATACCCTATGTCCGATTTGCACTTCTATTTTGCATCTCGATCTCGCACCGCGCGGCTCCTGCGCGAAGACATCTGTGGAAGCCCTGTCGCAGACTCGCAGCGCAAACCACATTTTACACACTAAATCATAAGCCCGAAACCCTAAGATCTAAACCCCAAACCGCGACTTTACATTACAAGCTTTGGTCTGGAAAGAACTTCCACCCTTCGCCTCTGGCTGCAATGGCGCATCGCCACAGGCTACGACAGCGACACTACAGCGACCTGGCGGGAAGCTCACAGAGAGGCTTCGGGGGTTCAGGGCTTAGAGGTTTTGTTGCTTGCCCATTTCTGCCTGAACGCCTAAGAAAGTCCTCTGAACTGGGCTAGTGGCTATTTCCGTCATACATGACTTGCTTCTCACTTTCGTGGCACTCAATGCAAGCTTGGTTTCCGTATCCATTGCCGCTGCACCAATACCCATGACCCCTGTTTTCGCTGCCCAAATGCATTCAATAGCAACCTTGCTGTCACTGCACCAATTCCCGTTACCACCCCCTTAGTTTCGACCATACCTTTGTGTTGCGTCAACGCGCTCCGCCCAGGGCATCCTTCTTTGCCTGGGGGTTCCTCACATGCAAGGCTTCTGGCTTGGGCTTTCGAACCTTAGGGCAAGCTGAGAGAGAGGAGAGAGAGAGAGCTGACAAAAGCTAAAAGAGAATTTTGAAAAACAAAAAGAGAATTCTGAAAGACATCTGAGCGCGACATGGCTGCACCCTAAAAACCTAAACCCTGAACCCTAAACCCTAACCCCTAAACCATAAAACCAAAAGCCCAAATCTACCGTGCTGAAAGCAGTGCATGGCGAAATCAACATGTTTCGTCGCATGACAGAGCTGCACAGCAGGTTCCGGATTGGGATCGCTGCAATTGGCCCGTTGGCTGTTCTTCGGGCACAAAGGTTGCACAAAAGAGAAGCTACTGTCAGGGACTGGTGACTGAGAGCCAATCCTCTTTGCATGTCTTCGCAAAAGATCAGATCACTGCAGAAACACGTAAGCTGTTGCTTCCAAGCTCTCAGGCTTGTCTCTCTCGGAAATGTCCTTCAATCTCCTCTTGTCGCTGCAGTCATAGCAGTCCGAGAACTCGTCACTCCTCTTGTGTTTGTAGCACGATGCTTGGTAACTCTTCCTTGTGTCCACAGACACTTGCTCCAGATGAAATTCAACTGCCCACAAGTCTTCTTGCTCAAGGGCTTCGAGACATTCGTCTGGATGTTCCACCGAGACGTGCAAGTTGTTGCGCTCCATTGTCTGGTACATAGACTCGCACTCTCCCGATGTCTTGTCTTTCTTGATGGGCACCCAACCCCCTGCATTTGTGCACTCGCTCACGGCGTCTTCATTTAGCTTTCCGCAGTGATTCTTGTCTTTGAACTTTTCGCCGCAATCGTCATTTTGCGTCTGCACCAAGGAATCAGTCGAAGATGCCGGTGCAAACAGCTCCCTCCAGCGCTTCGCTGCAGTGTAGCCAGCAGTCCTGGCTAAGTATCCATCAGGATTCTCTTTCTGGTCCTCTCTGTGAAAGGCCTCTCTTTCGGCTTTGCTGCCGATACTGTCGCAAAGACGGCTACGCTCTGATTTTTCCACAACTTGGTACTCAGTACAACATTCGGCAATCCAAACTTTCTTGGACGCAATGCTCATGAAGGGCCAGTCTTTGCAGAACTTGCCTGTCCAGCCACAGCGATCGGCACAACAACCCAACATCTCTGCTTCAACTGGTTGCACAACGTACCTGGCACAGGACTCGTCCAACGGCTTGCTCCCCATCCCAGCTGCCAGCATGAGGTTGGCAATGTTGTGGTGCAAGGTGTCAACCAGGGCCATACACAAATCCACGCACACGTCATTCAGCCCACTGAGAGCCTGCCCATTGAACTTATTGACCTTGCCTATCCTTCCTCCGACTACATTCTCTGTCAGGCGGTCTCTGCAGCTATCAGCAGATTCCCGCAATTTTTTCGCAAGGTCTCTGACTGTTTCTTCGCTAAGCACCATTGCGTTGTTGAACATCTGCTGGCAGAACTTGATGGAAGGAAGCATCACATGCTCCCATTTCATGCTCAGACCGACGGGGTCATCTTTTCGGCTCATCATGTCTTCTGCAGAAACCTCCATGGAGGTGATCGGGTCAAAGACGACATAGCGGCCGGCATTCATTATCTGCAAAACGCCATCTGCAACATAGTCAAATATCCCATGTTTCTCTCCTCTGTGAAGAAAGACTCCGTTTCTCGCGCCCCGTCCTCCGATCACCCTTTTAAGTGGCTGCCCAATCAAAGGAACCAGGCCGACCACGTGGCCTGTAAAAGCTCCAACAAACCGAATCACATCTGATGTGGTCTGCAGCAGTCCGCCAACAGCCATGAGCGACAAGAACAGTGCCTGGTAACTCTTTTCAGCAGCGTGAGCTTTGAATTTCTTCCAGCGCAAAGCTGCCCTGAGGCGGATGCTTACGGCATCAATCTGAACCCTCTCGTCCTCCTTCCAGTTTAAGGTGCATCGCCGCTGATCAACACGATTGAAAAATTTCCTGACTTCGCAATGTTCGGTGAAACTCCTGCAAGCATGCGTGCTGAGGCTAGCGCAAGTTTCAAACCAGTCCGCCGAATGGCCCTTTTTGAGCTTATTCCATGCATCCACAAACCCAACCTCTTCGCAAAAACCAAGTTCTTCTTTGGGATCTGTTGTCTTGAACAATTTGTCCAGAAGCTTTCTCATGGTTCCGGGCTCTCCTGCAGGGGTGATTGGCAAAAACTGTCTCGAAGCTTGCCTAGCTATGCATGGCTGCAGCCGTGCTAGCAACACAGAAGCAGCAAGCTCGGTCCTCCCCAAGCGCATCGATCTGGAGCCAAAAGGGTACATTCCGTCCTGTTCAGATCAAGGCAGTCCTGCATCACCACTTGGGCCGGCTCACATGGGCCACCCTTGTGAGAGCGGCACATGGGTGCAGGACATTTGTCATGTCCGAACCTGTAACACTTTGGATAGCATTTGGGTACCTCGCCTGGTACTTTAACACAGTCGGCGGCGGGACAATGGTTGGCTTGGCATGCGCTGAAATCCTGCGGAACACAACTCTTCCACAATTTCCCAAATCCACTCCGGGCCCAGCGACATTGGGGATGTGGGCAGCTGCCTTCGGAGCTGTAGTCTTTGCAAACAGACTCACACCATGACTTGTAAGGCCATTTGGTCTTCCAGAAACACTGGGCTTCTGCGGCACACGCCGACTCCGACAAGCCGCTGCAAGCACTCTTATGCCGAACCCCCTCATCGTTAATGAACAAAGTGCTCAAATCGCGCCGTTCCCCAGTGCAAGGGAAGGCGCTCACGAGCAGCAACGTACGAACCAGCATTCTCAAACCACCCCTTGACGCAAACAGCTGCCATCTTGCACGCAAACATGCAAATTCGCGAGAATTGCTGGGCCTAGACTTGCCAGATGCTCCCTGCCCCCAAGCCCAAGCCGCAGCCCTTTTTCCAGGAATGCTGAAATCGAGTCGCAAGTATTTGAGCTTGCAGCCTTGCTGCCCCTTCATGCCGGCATCGACTAGCTGAGTCGACCAGCGGCTCCGCAGCTTGCTCTCGATTGGTGCTGAGGTGTAATGGGAAATCAACTGCTTCTGCAAGACTCACCTCCATCCGTCTTGGCACATCATCCTGCAGTGACCCACTCAGTCTATCTTTGCTGAATCTGCTGCCGTCTGGCCGGTGTCTGTCCTTTCGAGATCCGATCCGGGAGGTCGACTGGCCAGGCCGTCTCGGAAAAACACAACTGCCAGGAAGAGGAACGGCATAAGCAGTGACATCACCAAAATAGCAAGCACTGGGCTGCAAAAGCCAAGATCGAGAGTCCACTGAACCGGTTGGAGCGTGATGATGATGCTGCAAAGAGTTGCAGCGACTGATGCCACCAATGTGCTAAGTTCTATCCGGTTCAGGAAATCGTCTTCATAGGGCTGCATGTATGCGTGAATCGTAAGGCTAGCAGCAAGGATGACCAACTCTGTCGCAAGGAACAAAAGCGGCGAGTAACTCACAGGAAAGATTGAGGCTGCCATCACAAGGGCGCATTTTCGAGCCAATACACCAGCTTCCCAACTGCTGACATTCTGCTTGTACCCTGAGATGAGATAGCCTTGGCAGGGACAACACACAAGCAACGCCTTTGCTACATGTCGAAAAACAAGGTTGCTCAAATCTACAACCAGGGCCTTGTACAAATGCTCCCCGCATCGAAGTCCAAGCGGCCTAGTCTTTCCTTGCGCTCGTCTGTGGGCCAGGTCTGCGAACGGCAAATCAGCCAAGCCCAAAAAAACGGGCCACAAAGCACACCGCAAAGCAGTGTCCCCATCAAAATGAAGGCTCTGGCCACCAAGTGCGTGTTGTCACAGGCTTTCCAGAGTTCATAGCTGCGAAAAGCAGCGCCGTTGTTCTGGAAATGCATACAAGGCAGAAACCGGGACAACCCACCCATAACGTCAGCCAAAAAACAATTTGTGAGAACTAGCAATGGCCTGAGTAGGTTCAGCGACATTGATGTGAGATCTGCTTCGGATCGTGTCCGCCAGAAAATCACCACGGTGGACACAAAGGCAAGCGTCCTTGTCTGTCGCTGGAATGGGAGAACAGCCTATGCGACCGACTCTCTAAACAGTACCTGCGGGACTGATGGCTTAAACCTTCTGAAAGCGTCGTCGGAACAGCTATGGTGACCAACAGCCATTCCATCATCGAGGCATCCGGCTTTTGCAATAAGCAGTCCATGCTTGGCCCGTGCCAGGGGGTTGCGCTGGAAGCTATGACGTTGCCTGTGTCACGGGCATGTGTGAAAACATCGCAGCCCACGTGTCAAAGGAGTTATACAAGCAACATCCAGACAAGGAACCAATCCAATGACTATTCAGTTTTGATACTGCAACGGGGCAACACACTTTGCAGTCGTTCTTTGCTTGAAGCAAAGTGCCCAAACACGCAGCAGTGCAAACAAACAAAGGTTTCTATTGTGGCATCTTACCTGAAGCACGAGTGGTTAGAAACCTTCGCAGAAGATGCGTATACAGCCCCATGGCGAGCACGGGATGGCTTAGTCATGTTTGACATGTAAAAACAAAAAGCACCATGGCGAGTTCCACCATTCGAGCAAATAAATGTGCCAGTGTCACACCGGACCACTTCATATAATCGCTTCTTCCTGATAAACAGACCAATAGTTCGGACACTCCCTGCTCAGCTCCTCTACTTCTCACGAAACCATGCTGTGGTACAAATCTCAGGAATCTGGCCCCATATGCAGCACAGAAACATCTCAAGGAGCGCAGACAAAGAATGCAGAGGACATTGGAGTCGCGCTTTCCGCACACAAAGCTGATGCCGGCTGTGTAGCTGTCAATATTAATCTTACCAACAACAAGATACACACGACACTCTAAACATAAACAGGCTTCCAGAAAGCTTCTGATCTTCGAACAGCGGCTGTAGGGGCGTCAGTAGATCCTAGCAGCAGCGTAGCATCGTAGTATACTCGCAGAGTCGTGGTCGTGGTAGTAGCAGCAGCAGTTGTTGTAGCAGCAGCAGCAGCAGTAGTGGTAGGAAGTATTACTACTACTAGTCTTACTATAACTATAATAGTAGTAGCACGATTATGATATTCTCTTTCATGTCACTGTGAGAGAGGTTGCTCCCTGTTGCTGCTTGCTCAACGGTTACGCCAACAGCAATGTTGGCCGAGCCTAGCTTGAGCAGTTTTGGCAGTTGCAGGCCAGGAGTAGGCCATGCATCATAGTCAGGCACTGTGCCATGCATAGTACTGTAGTCGCTACATAGACATTTTGATATTTAGACTCATTTAGACATAGATCAAGGACAAGACAACAGTTTGCTTTGCGTGTCACGTGAGCCATGGCAGCAAGTGCGAACTCTCTGTCTGTCCCTATGATGCAGCACGCTAAAGTAACCTGGCCAGCCGAAGCGGTTCCGCCGTGATAAGGCCAAAAGTGGTTCATTCCTTTGGTCTCAGACCAACCTTGTGGCTTTCATCTTCGTGCCCCTGTCGGACCTGACACAGGATCAAAGGCAAGTGCTGACTTGCTTCTTGATCGAGTTGCGTGAGGTTGACCTCGAAGTTTTCTGCTTCGGTTGACAGCGCTCTCCTCACGCCTAGACATGGTGGCCGAAAGGCCTTCCTTATGATCGGCGATGGCTACGTGGACAACACTGAAGGCCACTGGGTCGAGGACGAAGAGGATGGCACCGCGGGTTTCCTTGAAGTTGACGAGCATTTCTTCTGGGTGTATGACGATTCCAAGGTCGAAGAATGAAGCGTGGCGCCAAGGGCGAAGGGGGAAAGGGAAGAAAAGAAGAGGCAAGGGCTCTGGTGCAAGACGCTTCTTCAAAAGAAAGAAAGGAAAGAATCCCTTTGGCCGAAGACCAAGCCGAATCTTGGCAGAGCGCAATCCGGGGAAGAAGATTGGTCCTGGGGCAATGCCGAGGAATCCTTCGCCGCCAAAGGCAAAGGCAAGAAAGTAAAGAAAGGTAAATGCAAAGGCAAATGGAGCAAGAATGAAGGCAAGAGTGACTCCAAGCATGGCTCAGCCCAAATCGTCAAAGCCGCCAACAGCAACCCCAACGGCCGTGGCATCAACCTTCCTTGTGAAACACTTGAGTTCTGATGGTTTTTGAAGCGTCGAGCGCCATTCCTACATGTCAAGCCCGACCAGCACCGAGGACGTCAAAGGTGATGCAAAAACAACGGTTTTGGATCTTGGCTGCACCACGGCTATGGCCTCACGCACGTCCGCACAGAATCTGATGGAGTTCTGCGACAATCACCCGAACTGTGGCCTTTGGTACCGAATGTCCGAGACCACCTCGCAGTTCACCTTTGCCAACTCCGAGTCGGCGAAACGCACCCAACAGTTGATCGTGTGCATGTACGACCGGGCCATGCGCCGATTCTCATGTCCCTGCCTCAGATGCGAAACTTGGAATTCCAGTTCGAACTCCACCCAGAGAAGTCCAGTGTTGAGAGTCAAGCACATGAAGTTGCGAGTCGCACCAGAAAGGAGATCGTGTCTTCGTAAGAGGCAATCCTTCTCTGGGTACTCGTATGAACAGGAGATCTGTTACCACACTTGCACTTGCGGGAACAGCGATTTCGTCGAGATCGCTCCCCAACGGGGCTTCGTGGGTTCAGGTTTGGTCGTTAGTGAAACCTGCGCTGCTTGGTCCGGAACAACCCCCAAGGAAAGCAGCAACAGCTTGCTGGCACTGTTGAGCTGAAAGTTTTGATGGAGGTCCGGGTTGTTTTGTGACAGTTATGTATTCCGCAAAGAGTTGTTTTTGGCTTTCTCAGTGTAGCCGATCACTACAGTGGAGAAATGGCATGTCCTTTGTTGCTTTGAAAAACAAAGGGGGAACGACCGCATGGTGAGTTGGCATTCTTGTCGAACCTTCCTGAAGGGTCTCTCAATCCCTTGTTATCACTTGCACAAGGATTCAGTTGCAGCGATGCTCTTGATCTCAGGCTCGCAATGTTGTTGTCTCAATGCTTGACAGGTGACAGTTTTCTGATCATAGGCAATCGTGTTTGTTTGAAGATATCTTTGAAAACTTTGATGATGGAGCTTTGTGTGTGCGTTGTGTCTGCGTTACTCCAAAGCCTGTCCTCATATCGTCCTCTTTCCTGTCCTGTCTCCTGCCTTCATATCTATACTCCTGTCCGGTCTCCTGTCCTCCGACAAATGTGCTGGAGATCGCGTCTGTGCTTAAAAGTCTAGCAACCCCACTGAAGGTGGGGAAAACCGCATCCCCCGCTTGCCCGCGTGCATTCCACACCAAATGCAAGAGACTTTGTTCGAATTTCTGCGTCTGTGCAACTCGTGGTATTTGCTTGTTGGGTGTCCAACAAAACAGCAAATACCCCAGTTGTCAACATGTCCTGCCAGGAAGAGTCCAACAAGCTTCCGCACCTGTGAGAATGAGGTTCTGCAGAAAGCCGGACATAGCGCCGTATGCCTGACCAGGCTGCAGCTGAGTGCTGGCATCGATGATGGAATGAAAAGCACGGCGTTACCCCCAAAGGCAACGCATGCCACGCAACCATTCAGGAACCACAGTCCTCACGACTGTGTCATTTGTCTGATGATTCGTGCGCGAAGTTAACGTGCACAGCCAGCCGCAGCTGTTGTCCCAAATCTTCATTTACTTTGCTGAGATGAGTGCTGGTCAAAATGCTGTCGGTAACTTCTTCTTTCTTTTTTCCACTTGTGACTGCCCACGTACATGGTCTTTCATGTCCACATGCAAGACGTGCCAACGTTGAACTCCTGGTTTTTCTTAGCCCTTGGAATGAATGCAACACGCGAAATGTGGACCTCTTGCCCCTGGCTTGATCAGCATCACAACCAGAAAGCGCAGAACAGCACGGGTTGCTGCAACTCTGTCTGCCTCCGAAGTTCGCACCGCTGGCCACAGAGATGCTGCAACAGCGCTGAACGACAGGATGATCTTCAACGTGGCACCTTGCCTGTCCCTGTCC